CCAATCACTTCCTCTTCAAGAGTTAGGGTATTAAAGGATGTATAGAGACATGCACCCCCCGTTTGCCTTCAGCACCAATACTTCATGGAGCTGCAAACCCATCAGAGCACGTCGGCCCACAATGACCGTAACCCTGCCTGGGATGAAGAGACGCGGCCGGAGAAGTTAGCATAAAAGAAGGCCGCATTTTTGAAGGACCCCCAGAAAGAGAAACGGATCTCAAACGCCGTGCGCGCACCTGCACGTACTTTCTTCAAGTACGCTCTTCGACTTCAGCACTCCCTTCTTGGCTTGGCCGGACAATCCCATACCCTGCATCCTAAATACCAAGATGGTCACATGGCACTTTCCGCCATCCCAACCGAAACCTCGCACTCACCCTCACAAAAACCTTGTTTCCCTTAGAAGAAGGTGGATTGATGACTTGGAGGGTCCAGGTCAATAAAGCTAATCAGAACCGGACTTACAGACCAACTATGAGCCGCCTTGGACTCCTTAGGGTTTAGGGTTTTCGGGTATAGAGCGTTTAGGGTTTAGGGTTTAGAGCTGTAGGGTTCGAATTGGGCTATAGTCACCCTGAACCTTCGAGTGAAAGGGAAGTCCGGAACGGCGCCTGTAGCTTGCTGACGGCATCTCCCCAATTGGATTCAGCTGCTGTTGGGCTGTTGAAAATATTTCCAAACCTGGGTGGCGGGATTTAGCGTTTAGGATCCAGGGTTTAAGGCTGAGGGCTTAGGGTTTCTAATATACGTAAAGCTTACTATACGGGGCTGGACGGATTGTTTGATAGTGGAGGGGGAACATTTCCTCACGACCGGGAGGAAGCCTTGTCACGGTGAGCAAAGACCCTGAATCCTACCCCTACATCCCCAAACCTCCTAAATCCTAAACTTCTAAACTCCCTAAACCCTAAACCCCCCAACTCTAACCCTAAACCCCCCAACCCCTAAACACCCAAACTCTAAACCCTAAACCCCAAACTGCAAAAGCTAGCTAGCAGCTTGGCGAAGAAGCCGCAATCGGTTGGCACCAAATACCAAAATCCCACACCTGATCATTGCTTAGTGATTAGGTTAAGGTTCCAGTTTAGGGCCTCAGCGGCAAGAGCATCACCTTATCATCGGGGTTTAGGGTGCGGGGGTGTGAGGTCTATGACTTAAGGGTTTAGGGCTCATAATTTCATCTGCAGCTCTCTCTTTCCAACCTGCATGTGGAGGAACCCACTCTTTGCGCGGGGATAATGAAAAGAAAACTAGGAAGCGCGAGGTGATCCTCATAGGCTGCATGAGTCCCATGGTTTAGGGTCTAGGGTTTAGGGTATGATCCCCAAAAAAAACATACTTCCCAACCAAATTGGAAGCTCATAAGCCCCCTTTGAGAAGTACCGCATTTTTGACGATCATGTTACTTGCAAGGAGGGTGTACTCCTATGAGCTACAGTCTAAACTCCTAGTATCCCCCTTGAAGAGCCCTATAGTAGTCCCCTATAGAATCCCCTATATAACCTCCCTTTAAGGAGTTTAGACCCTAAACCCTAAACCCTAAATCCTAAACCCTAAACCCTATATAACCCCCTATAATCCCCTATATGAGCTTATGTGGTGGCAACTAGCACCAACAT